AGATCGTTTCACGGTCGAACACGTATCATGGCTCGATGCTTGTCAATGGCTAACACATATGCCTGATTACTGGACTAGGAACGCTTCAATGCTTTTGCAAGTCCTTTCTTACCCTCACCGTGTATGCGGGAACACCGTGTACGATAAAATATATGTTCACGTATATACGTATATGAAGAAAAAGAAGACATATAACGTATACCTATCATATATGTATGTATATATCTATATATGTTAATAATATATACATGTATATGTGAGTTTGTAGTATCGATAAACCTTGGAAAGTGATATTTTCGTTCTGAGTGATTACAACGATACAATTTTAGGATGTTTTGTACTTGCTTTGATATGTTTTCAAAACTTTTATATAAGAAATAAAAAAGAAGTTTATCTATAGGGAAATTCTCTAATATAGATTATTTTTGAAAATAATAAATAATGTGTGTTAGAGAGAAGTTTTATTTCTTTGGAAAAGGTCAATTTTGGCGAAGAATTTTTTTTAGTTTTATCCAAATAAAATAAAATAAGATAAGATAAGATGTATTTCTTATATATATATAAAATAAGGAAGATTTATTTTAAAATAGTTATAAATTATTATAAATAAAAGAAAAATATTATAACTAAATATAATATACGATAAGGTATATTGATCTTGTTAGATAATAATATTGTCCTATACAAATAAGTCTAATAAAATATCTACATTTCTCACATTCTTTTTATCTTTATATTCTCAAAATTGAGTTTCGTACATGTACAACATACATATGAAGAATATATATATATATAAAGAAGACTATAACGGATAATATAAGCTTTTGTATGCGTTCGTAGATGTTGTGCATGTTTATAAAACCGTGAAACTACAAAAAGGATTTCAAAGTTATTGAACAAACACGCCTTGTTTCCAACGTAACGCTATTTTGTAGACATGCAAGTCGACTTTTTACTCTTCTTCTATTTCCCTTACTAACATCGTTCACACAAAATCTGGAAAAATCGTCTTTTCTTTTCTTTTATGCAACGAAATATAATAGTTTGACATAATGAAATAAAAGTTCTTTTATAATAATTTCCTATTATAAACATTTTTCAATGATGATAAATCATTAATAAGAATTTATGAACATTAATGAAACTTTTTAATTAAAAAAAACTTACAGTATTTTCCATTTAAATAAATAAACATCATAATATTTGTTAAATATAAATTTCAATATTACTTTTGTTAATCTAGTATTAATCTTAATAATAAATTAATTATTTAATTAATCTAGTATATCTGGTTTTAATTATTATAGTAACAATTTTTGATTTATTATAATATTGTTATTTACATTGTTTCAAGAAAAAAAGAAAATATTTGCATTGAATCGAAAAAGGATTTTAAAAAATTGATATCGTAATGTTATATCGATTTACGAATAATTGTTTAAAAGAAAAAAATCTTTTTAAGAAATCGAAAGGAAAGAAAATAATCGAAAAATATTGCGAAATTCGCTTACAGACAATGGAATAAAATGTTTTCACAGAGAGAAATTGATAAGCATCGCGTTCAAAGAGGGGAAATAGAAAGAATGAAGAATAGAATGTAAGATCGAGCAATAATTCTTAAAAAGAAATCTAAAAGAACGATAGATAGGAAGTTCAAATTTCACAAAAGAATAACGCATAAACGATTCTACTACAAATTTTAGAACCTCTATAAAATCGATATTTCTTTTTATTTTTTGTTTTGTTATAATTTCTTTTTCTTACAATTCAATTTATTATTATTATTAACAACAATGAAATTATTTACTGTATAAAATAAAATTATTATTTTATCATTAAACGGATCATTCTTATAGTATCAATTAAAATATGAACAAAAAAAAAAAGATTTTCTAAAAACAATTCGTGATACATCAAACATATCACCCCCATATGCAGGATGTTCAAAAACTAAGAAGAAACATTTATTTTTTTTTTTAAAAGAACTGATCTACACATATTATTTGACTTTAATTTCTGTAACATTATTACAATATATTTTATCAAATAATATATTAAGAATGTGTTTATTTAAATATAAAAATATAGACTCATAAAATCTGCAGAAAAAATAAGAGAGAAAAACTAAAAAAGAAAAACAATTCTAATATACTTAATTTGTTAAGTAAGTATCATTATCTTATTTTTCTTTTTTATTGTTTTATTTTTCATTCACGTAGCATTTTTTGTATTTTCATTGTAATAATAAGGGACTCATGACGAGAGCCCATGACAATAAGCTTAGCCTTACTTTTGTGCTATATTTTTTTTTTCTTTTCTTTCCATTCAAGTAAATTCATGGTTATATATTTCATTGTGAGTGCACGGGTGCGTAGCTTATGTAGGAGATATAAAAGCATGATGTCACGGGGATTATGCGAAGGGTTAATACTGGAGTAGAGAGATGTTGTGGGAGGGTGAGTGGGTGGAAGGGTTAGTGAGGGTGTTAGGAGGGTGCTCGTTCGTTCTCAGAGCTTTACGACGTCCTCGGGCTGTGTCAGTGGTACGTCAACCCAGTTTCATGAGTTCTGTCACGCGAACCAAGGCAGCAAGCAAGGATATATCCGCCTTTAAATTACGAGGAAGTCCGCCTGTACGATTTTAAGATTTATGACTTTTTGTTGTACAAACAAAAAAGAGAGACAACGAAAATTGACAAAGATGACGAATGATGACGTAATTCGTCTTCTCAACTTTTACTTCATTCTTTAAAGCTCACCCTACGAAGAGTGTCCAAGCTGAAAATTTCATTTCCGAAGTCTAGTATCGTTATGTCGAAATCAATTTCTATAGCAATACATTTTATTTATTTATTTATTTTTTACATTTTCCCCTCTCTATGAGTATCTTTATTTCCCTTGTTTTCTTTTGGTATTGACAGAAACGATAAAATTTTATTATACGATACTACTTCTAACGTTAGAGTACTACAATAAAATTTTTTACGTTTAGTTTACAAATAAGAAGAAGAAAAGAAAAAGTGGGAGATTTATTTATTTAAGTTGATACGATCTTTTCGTTGCGTTTGAGATGTTAATAAATACGATATTGTAGTATTCATGGTTTAATAATAAAATAATAGAGGAAAAGTATATTTATAAATGTAAGTTTTAATAAAAAGAAAAGAAAAATAATCTTAATTATTATAAAAAAATACACGAAGTAAAATTATTCGCCAAAAGAAATACTCCTGACTTTTTTATTACATACAATAATTGATAAAAGCCTTTCTAGTAAATGTATTATCATATTTTTCTCTTTTTTTCTTCTCGTGATAATATGTAAATTATTTGTAAGAAAAACGCGAATACTTTTCGCTATAATAATAAAGAAGAAGAAGAAGAAGTAAAAGAATATCATATATAAAAAAACGGGTGAATGAAAGTGGGTGAGTAAATGAATAAATTAGGAAAAGAAAAAGAGATTTTTTTAAAATAAATAATGAACATAAAATATAAAACGATATTTGTAAACTGTTCATGAAGATCGTAAATTGCGATTCACGTATTTGTGGAAATATCGTTTTTTTTTTATCTTATTAAACCAACTATAATATCGCCTTGATCGGGGCTATGAAAATAATAAAACGAAATACGAAAATGAAAAAAAAACGTAGGGGGAAAAGAAAGAAAAAAAAAAAAAGAATGGAAAAGGGAAAAAGAGAAATGAGAAGAAAAGTTAGAAAAAATAGAAAAAAACAAACAAACCAAAACAAAAAATAATAATAATCGTGGCAATTTCTTGATATGAGGAACAATTTCAAACGTTAACGAAAGGTAATTATTATTCGAAGCAATTACACCTCGATCAGGAACACACCGCCGTTTGAAAACTCGTCAAGTTTTTTCCAACGAAATATTCATTTGTCATATCGGATTATTTATACGCGATTATGTTTTTGTATTTGTTGTATTTTCTCGATTAATTGTCACTTTTGTCGATAGAATACAATTTCTAGAAAAGCGAAATTATTTTTTTGAAAGTAGCAGAGCAATTACCAATGTTCGGTATTCACACCTTTCATCCCTGTAAAATATAATTTGAGGCCACCAGGAAAAAGAAAAAACAACATCATGTGTGCAGATCACACGTGTTAAGAAGTGAAACCTTCAAAAAACTAAGTTTCGAGAGAATAAGAC